ACGGGGATACTTGGGGGTCTCTGACAACGTCTCAGACTTTATGCTTCTGTGGACAATTCTTTGGCATGTAACATCTGTAGGCCACACACCGGTTATAATGGTTGTGTAGCGCTCACCCCCCGAGGAGCCGTTGGAATATTTAGGTTATCCATAGCCTGTCTAGGGGATTTTAGCAACCTGGCTGCCTCAATAGTACTTATCACCCTCTGTGGCAAGTGATAAAGCAAGATCCAGACTGTAGATATGATGCTGAAGGAACTTTATTGCAGAACTTCATACTTGGGAGAGAGGTTTAGGGCTTAGGCTTAGGACATCCATGAGAAAAATAGAACAGGACAGAACTCCAGACTCACGAGTCCCTTTCAGTATTCCACAGTGCAGGATCAATAGGAGAACATGCTGACACTGGGTATTTGAGCAGCAGCTGACGAGGGATAGGCATGAGATCTTCAGTAGGGGAGTCACCAGACATTCTCCTGAGGTCCATTCCATTTCAGGCACCTCCAGCAGCCATCAGCTTCCCTGGTTCTCCTCTTCAATTAGTATTAGGCCTTCTTCAGACTTGAGGCCTAGTGAAGCTTTTTCCATACTTGAGCATTCCCACCCCCAGGCCAAATCTGGGGGCAAGTTTGAACTCCAACCAGGACTGGGCCAAGGTTGCCACCCTTTCTTCAAGCAAAACCCGAACAGTCTAGTGACGTGCGAACATTTTTTTCTTGGGAGAATGAGTCGTGGCTTATTCATATGTAAATAGCGCCACCCATTCATATGTAAATATCACAGTTGAGACTATTTTCAGTGGGGGGCCAGTAGCCTCTATCTTAATTTTGGTTGCCCATGTCTGCCTGACATCTTGTGTCCGAGTTGCTGCTGCCATGAAACCCGGAGGTTCACTCACTTCCCGATCTGTAGAGCCGACCTGTGACAGTTTCATTGTCACAGGTCGGCTCTAACTATGAGGTTGAGTGAAAATCACTCACCTCATAGTTCTCTATTGAGTGAGAACTTGATTCAAGGAGCAATATCTGTGAAGCCTTTTGTCAGCTACACTGCATTTGTGGAATGAACAATTTAGCTCCTGTATATTGAGGAAGATCGTGATGGACTAGGGGTCTATGGGGTTTTATGTTTGCGCAATGTGGGGCAATGAAGTGATTGCTTTCTTTTCTATATGGTGTCAGAAGATGTACCCAATTTTCTGGTGTTGGCCATCAGTGGTGAGATTTCCTATCACTTTCTGACAGGTCCAACGTGTATGATAAAGAAGCTTACTTGCTGGATGGCCAAAGAATGTCTGCTTCGTCCTCAACAGTAACACCACATCCCCTTGCATGGAGGGGATATAGTATTTGGCAGCCCAGGCTGGACAGATGAAGAAAGAGTCCTTGAACGTGGACTGCGGCTTTTAGAGAGAGGTTTCAGACGGGATCCTCCAAAGGACACATCTGCCTTACCTAGCAATTGGGCATCAGTGGTGTCTGCCAGGAGTTTTAGGGGAAGCGAACATGGCCAGCCTCAAGTTCCTTCCATTGAATGGATGCAAGACATTGTTGACCCCTTATGTCTCCATGGAACCCTAGTTTCCGAGATAGGTGTTTACAAAGCAGCCCTTTCACAAGATTGACCTCTTCTTGGCCAAGAGCCTTGTATTTTGGCTCAACGGTAAGGGTCTTCTTGATGATTTCATCTGCTGTTCCTTTGACAAAGGGTATATGTCGGGTGAGCATCTTGTAAACCAGGACACCTAATATGAACCAGTCTGTGCCCTCTTTTTAGGGCAAGCCTTTTATAAACTCAAGAGCTTTATACCCCAGTGTCCCTATTCCTCAGTACTATTTAGCACTTCCAAAGACATTTTCCACCGCAATGCCAAAATCTGTTATTGTGGCATGTCCATCGGTGATCAGTAAAATATTATCCAGCTTCAGGTCTCTGTGCATGATTCCTTTAGCATGCAAAAACTAGAGACCTGTTCCCCTAACACATGATCCGTCACCAGTAGTACTTTTCCAAAGCTGCCTTCTCCGAGGACCCAGTGGAAATTAAAATCTTCAGTGGTCATGGCAACCGGATCTGTCCTCTGCTTGGCAGAAGACTGACTGGGTCCTGGTTTAACATCATCTTCACCAATCTAGATGACAAGTTTGGGGACAGCAGCAATTGCCGAGGTCTATTCCAGGACCTCGGGAACTGCTGACTTTTTTTTTCTGCCTTTGAAGAGCGAGAAATTTGGCTTGAAATCCATTTTTGACTGCTCTTTTCGGGAACCTTTCTCTCCTCCTCCTCTGGACATTCTGTTTACTTTTAAGGTGTCCTAACATTCTGCAGCCTTAGGAAAGCTTGAATCCTCCCCCTGAATGGGTTGGGCCTCTAGCGTTCTCTAGATTGCTGGTCACCTCATCCTTCACCTTGATCTTCCAAGTTGCATTCACCTTTCTTTTTTGCTCTCACCTGTTTTAGATTGCAGTGATTTTTGTTTTTGTATAAATATAGTTGAAATAGTATTGTTTTCAACAGTGAGGAGAACAAACTAAAATATGTTGGGGTGATTGGCAAAGATTGGCAAAGATCAGATTGTAACATGTGGTTGGGTCTGCTGTCAGTCTCTAATGATAGCATTCCATCAGCGTGTACTGATCCATAGTATTACAAAGCTGTTCTTACCTTGGTGGAGCCTTCTGGGCAAAAGCTGGTCTCCCTTGTGTCTGCTTTCTCCGTGTTAGGCGGATCTTCAGCCTGAGAAGAGCTTCAACTCTATCCCAGGAAGTCTGTGGTGGGACTTCTCTCCTCTGCTTATTCTCTTCTCACCTCAGTGTTTCCTCCATATCTTCTCTCCTCATTCTCTCCTCTCCTCATTCTCTCCTCTCCTCACTTCAGTGTTTCCTCCATGTCTCTTGTCATTCTCTGCTCCATCTCTCCTCATGCTCTCCTCCATCTCTCCTCTCCTCGGTCTCTCTTCCATTTCTCCTCTCCTCAGTCTCTCCTCCATCTCTCCTCACCTCAGTGTTTCCTCCATATCTCCTCTCCTCATTCTCTACTCCATTTCTCCTCTCCGCACACCAGTGTTTCCTCCATATCTCCTCTCCTCATTCTATCCTCCATCTCTCCTCACCTCAGTGTTTCCTCCATATCTCCTCTCCTCATTCTCTACTCCATTTCTCCTCTCCGCACACCAGTGTTTCCTCCATATCTCCTCTCCTCATTCTATCCTCCATCTCTCCTCACCTCAGTGTTTCCTCTATGTCTCCTCTCCTCATTCTCTACTCCATTTCTCCTCTGCGCACAACAGTGTTTCCTCCATATGTCCTCTCCTCATCCTCTCCTCTATCTCTCCTCTCCTCAGTCTCTCCTCCCGTTATTCTCTCCTCTCCTTAGTGTTTCCTCCATATCTCCTCTCCTCATTCTCTCCTCTCATTATAATCCTCTCCTCTATTCACCTCAGTGTCTCCTCCATCTCTCCTCTCCTCATTTTCTTCTCCATCTCTCCTCATTCTCATCTCTCTTTACCTCAGTATCTCCTCCATCTCTACTCCCCTCATGTTCTCCTCTCCTAATTTTCTCCTCCATCTCTCCTCTCCTCATTCTCTCCTCCATCTCTCTTCCCTTCATCTCTTCTCTCCACATTCTCTCCTTTATTCACCTCTGTATCTCTTCCTTCTCTCCTCCCCTCATTTTCTCCTCTATCTCTCCTCTCTTCATCTCAGTGTCTCCTCCATCTCACCTCTCCTTATTCTCTCCTCTCTTCACCTCAGTGTCTCCTCCATCTCTCCTTTCCTCGTGTTCTAGTCCATCTCTCCTCTCCTCATTATCTCCTCCATCTCTTCTCTCCTCATTCTCTTCTTCTCTCCTCTCTTCACCTCAGTATCTCCTCCATCTGTCCTCATTCTCTCATCTCTTTATCTCAGTGTCTCCTCCATCTCTCCTTTCCTCATTCTCTCTTCTGTCTCATCTCCTCCTTAACATCTTCTACTTTACGGATATCATTGTGGTAGAAAAGACGAATATCCAAAAGTAGAAGAAACCAAATTGCATTTTCACAAAGTGACAAACTCGCGGAATCACCCTAAGTGAAGCTGCTCCTTGAAAGGTCTTTGACATCTGAGGAGCGAAGGCTCCCTCTGCCCAGTGCTCAGTGGTGATGTCACAAGGAGTCATGTGGTCATAGTAACATGATAAATTGGTCTTTTCAGAATTCGGAATTCCTCTGCAGTTGGCAGTTGGTGAAGCTGAGCAATGGCGATCACATGACATATTTTTACAGCAGATTAGGCAGATTAGGCCTATCGCTGGGTTAGTGTTAGGGTTATCCTTAGGGTTAGGGCTGCCATCACAGAGGTATGGTTAACATTAGGCTTATCATATTCGGACATAAGAACAGGTCTGGGGTAGGTGAAATGAGCTTCTGGAACTTTCAGGAGATGTTTAAAGTCATCACTAGACACTCCCTAATATTACTCATCATTCTTTGCCACCTTCTATGTTTGTATAAAACTTTGGCTTTTATTCATATCATATTTAGCCGTGTCTTCTGCCTCCATCTGCAAATCTTTGTATAGCAGAGGTAGGAAAACTTCAGTCCTCCAGCTGTGGTGAAACTACAAATCCCATTTGGCATTGCAAGACTCTCGACAGCCACGGGTATGACTTTGGAGGCTATTGCTAATGCATGCTGGGATTTGTAGTTTCACCACAGCTGGGAGGCCCAAGTTTGCCTACCCCTGTTCTATGGTTTCAGAGGATGCGGGAGTGGTAGGCTGAAGCATGTAAATGATGGCATCAGCATCCTTGGCCGGTTAATATTGGACTTATATTTATTATGACTATTTTATATATGATTATTGTGGTTATTTTATTATATTATTAATAGTATTGTTTTTAGGGTTTTTTTGTGTCTACTTTGCTCTCTATCATTGCCAGCAGAGGGCAGGCAAGGACCAGATCATGTGACCAGCTCATTCCTCCAGCCCTGCGCCTATCTGTCATCTGTCAGCTGTCTTTGTGGTTTCTAGCTGATAATCTGCACTTCGGTTCTCTCTCGCTGGTTCCGGGAGTCGATCTAGGCAGTGCTGTTCGTGTGGACCGCTGCCGTCTCTATGGTGGGCCGTTCCGCCCCCTTGTTGTCAGTCTCGATGGTATGAGGAGCTTGGACGAGCCGGGATGGCGGAGGAAGCGGCTTGGCCCGGAGCTCTGAGCGGCCTTACCGGGAGGGAGGAGAAGGAGTGACTGTCATAGGAGGTGAGGAGAGGGGTAAATGCCTGTAAAAGGTGTGTGACACTGAGGGGCGATGTTGACTGCAGAACTTCAACTCCGAGCCTTCTCTGCGTCTATACTACAACACCCATTATGTCCTGTCCCAGTCTGTAGAGTGACTAAAACGTGCCTGCACTGTATCTGTGTATAGATAAATAACAACTCCTAACCTGACTACAATTCCCAGCTTGTCCTGTGGCTGTGTGTAGGGGGATTCCAACTCCCAGCCTGCCCTGTTCCTGTGTATAGGGGGATTCCAACTCCCAGCCTGCCATGCTCGTAGAGGGACTACAACTCCCAGCCAGTCCTGTTGCTGTGTGTAGAGGGACTGCATCTCCCAGCCTTCCCTGTCCCATGTGTAGAGCAACTACAACTCCCAGCCTGCCCTGTGCCGTTGTGTAGAGGGACCACAGTTACCAGCCTGTCTGTAGAGTAACTACATCTCCCAGCCTGTTCTTAATATAGAGGAACTACAACTCCCAACCTGTAGTGTCCCTGTCTTAGGGGGAAAAACAACTCGCAGCCTGTATTGCAAAAAGCGGGGCTACAACTCCGAGCTTGTCCTGTCCCTGTCTGTAGAGGGTCTGCAACTCCCAGTATGCGCTGGCTCTGTCTGTAGAGAAACTACCACTCTCATTCTGTCCTGTTCATAAAGGGATTATAACTCCCAGCCTGTCCTGTCCCTGTATTTTAGACACCCAGCCTGGTTTGTTCCATCTCTTGATGTCTTTTAGAGGGACTACACCTCCCTGCATGTCCTATCTCTGTGGTGACTACAATTCCCTGTCTGTTAGGGACTACAGCACACAGCATTCACACATCCCCAGAGCTGACACTTTAATGACTTGTCTTCACTTTAGTGTCCCACTATGTGCCCCCCAAACAGAAGGAGGCTTGGTCCAGGAGCTAGCACTCTAGTGGAGGAAGTTGCCATCCCATGCAGGGAGGCTTGGCCTGGGAGTTGGCACTTTAATGGAGGAAGTCAGAGCTCCCTCCCACCATCTCCTGGATACAGCAGCTTGATACAGACTCTCTGGTCTCGGGTGTCAGGGACGCCCAGGCAGAAAGTTTCCATGTAACTAAACTCCGACAGCCTTTGTTCTCCACAGAGGGAGACTGAGCAAACATCCCTGAAGCTCGTCCCCTCCCCCCCCCCACCGGGGCTGAGATGCTGCTGGGGCCCGGAGCACGGACGGGCTTGGCTGACTAACTCCCTACAGGGATTGGGCGCCACATGAGTTCAGGTATTCGCTGGACATGGGAGGTACTGCCTGTGTCTGCCCTAATAATGGGGGGACCTCGGTGGAGTATTGGCAATGGTACTGATTGTGAGCAGCGCCTCCTAATACCCCTCGCATTGTGAGTAGCGCCTCCTAATACCCCTCGCATTGTGAGTAGCGCCTCCTAATACCCCACACATTGTGAGTAGCGCCTCCTAATACCCCTCACATTGTGAGTAGCGCCTCCTAGTACCCCTCGCGTTGTGAGTAGCGCCTCCTAGTACCCCTCGCGTTGTGAAGCGCCTCCTAGTACCCCTCGCGTTGAGTAGCGCCTCCTAGTACCCCTCGCGTTGTGAGTAGCGCCTCCTAGTACCCCTCGCGTTGTGAGTAGCGCCTCCTAGTACCCCTCGCGTTGTGAGTAGCGCCTCCTAGTACCCCTCGCGTTGTGAGTAGCGCCTCCTAGTACCCCTCGCGTTGTGAGTACCGCCTCCTAGTACCCCTCGCGTTGTGAGTAGCGCCTCCTAGTACCCCTCGCGTTGTGAGTAGCGCCTCCTAAGACTGCCCAGATTCTGTACCTGACTCCCTGATATCTGACACGTCACTGCTGGCTGGGCCACTAACCGCAAGGTGTATTTCATTCAAGAAACTGTCAAATGTCAGAATAAAGGGTGGCACTCCTATTTTTTAGAGGAATGTGTGGTCTTACTAAGTTGCTGTGACTCTCATTCATTGTAAAGCTACTTGTGAGTTGTCGCATAACATTTTATAATACAATGGCGGTACTCTGTATTTTGAACTCAATCTACTGAGTGGAAGATTATTTCACAGAAAACGTTGGTATTCCTTGTCTGCATTCCATTCTGTGTCACCTTATTTTTCATAGGAAGCGCCAGCACTCCTGGTTTTCAATATGAAATGACGGGACTCTGCTACAGCCATTGATCTTATTTCTAGATCTGAAAATAAATTCTGACCTGACGGCGTGGTGGGTGTGGCCTAATGGCGCCTCATTGGTCACATGTCACTATAGAGCGTGTGAAATAATTCTGTGGTGCCCCGAGGGGAGAGGAGAAGGGGAGAGGACGCGTGATCACATGATCAGTGTTCTTGAAATGTCAAAATTATAACAAACTCTTTATTTCTGCTTTTACACTGAACTTTAATCTGCTTATAATTTGCATTGAGTGCTCCCGGCCACCCCCCCCCCCTTCCCCTGCTTCAAAATGAAAATTACATTTCTGGTTTTTGTTTTTTTTACACACCTTATTTGAGTCCTGGTGATGTCATCACTGGAGCTCTGTGCTTCTCTATACAATGCAGGTAGTACATAGCTTCCGGAACACATCACAGCACCCTGCCTCAGTACTCCTAGGTCTCCCGGCCCCCCCCCCCCCTTCCCCTGCTTCAAAATGATAATTACATTTCTGGTTTTTGTTTTTTTTACACACCTTATTTGAGTCCTGGTGATGTCATCACTGGAGCTCTGTGCTTCTCTATACAATGCAGGTAGTACATAGCTTCCGGAACACATCACAGCACCCTGCCTCAGTACTCCTCAAGACCCCTTAGCTCTGATACATGCGATGGGCTGGCTGAGTTATGCAAATATCAATATGCCTTGATAGGTGGATGCCAGTCTGGAGGAGTGGGTGTACCTAGGCATTCAGACTGCCATAGGCAACGTCCACGTGTGATGCTGAGCCTCCATGATGGAAAAAACTTCAATCCAATCAATGAATAAGGTGGGGCCAGGGACAGTCAGAGGGGGGAGGAAAGTGCTAGATGATGCTGGGTGTTCTCCAGGCAGGAAATGAGGTGGGCTCTGTCTGACAGTGTGCAGTGAAATCAGAGGAAGCCATTTCAGTCCAGGAGAGGAGACGGTACAACTGTGCAAGACTGAAGGGGAGGGAAACAATGTTACTTTGTATCTCCCCCTCTGTACAATGTTTATATACAATGTTACTCTGTATCTCTCCATCTCCCCCTCTGTACAATGTTTATATACAATGTTACTCTGTATCTCTCCATCTCCCCCTCTGTACAATGTTACTTTGTATCTCTCTATCTCCCCCTCTGTACAATATTTATATACAATGTTACTTTGTATCTTTCTATCCCCCTCTGTACAATGTTTATATACAATCTTACTTTGTATCTCTCTATCTCTCCCTCTGTGCAATGTTTATACACAATGTTACTTTGTATCTCTCTATCTCCCCTCTGTACAATGTTTATATACAATGTTACTCTGTATCTCTCCATCTCCCCCTCTGTACAATGTTTATATACAATCTTACTTTGTATCTCTCTATCTCTCCCTCTGTGCAATATTTATACATAATGTTACTTTGTATCTCTCTATCTCCCCTCTGTACAATGTTTATATACAATGTTACTCTGTATCTCTCCATCTCCCCCTCTGTACAATGTTTATATACAATCTTACTTTGTATCTCTCTATCTCTCCCTCTGTGCAATATTTATACATAATGTTACTTTGTATCTCTCTATCTCCCCTCTGTACAATGTTTATATACAATGTTACTCTGTATCTCTCCATCTCCCCCTCTGTACAATGTTTATATACAATCTTACTTTGTATCTCTCTATCTCTCCCTCTGTGCAATATTTATACATAATGTTACTTTGTATCTCTCTATCTCCCCTCTGTACAATGTTTATATACAATGTTACTCTGTATCTCTCCATCTCCCCCTCTGTACAATGTTTATATACAATCTTACTTTGTATCTCTCTATCTCTCCCTCTGTGCAATATTTATACATAATGTTACTTTGTATCTCTCTATCTCCCCTCTGTACAATGTTTATATACAATGTTACTCTGTATCTCTCCATCTCCCCCTCTGTACAATGTTTATATACAATCTTACTTTGTATCTCTCTATCTCTCCCTCTGTGCAATATTTATACATAATGTTACTTTGTATCTCTCTATCTCCCCTCTGTACAATGTTTATATACAATGTTACTCTGTATCTCTCCATCTCCCCCTCTGTACAATGTTTATATACAATCTTACTTTGTATCTCTCTATCTCTCCCTCTGTGCAATATTTATACATAATGTTACTTTGTATCTCTCTATCTCCCCTCTGTACAATGTTTATATACAATGTTACTCTGTATCTCTCCATCTCCCCCTCTGTACAATGTTTATATACAATCTTACTTTGTATCTCTCTATCTCTCCCTCTGTGCAATATTTATACATAATGTTACTTTGTATCTCTCTATCTCCCCTCTGTACAATGTTTATATACAATGTTACTCTGTATCTCTCCATCTCCCCCTCTGTACAATGTTTATATACAATCTTACTTTGTATCTCTCTATCTCTCCCTCTGTGCAATATTTATACATAATGTTACTTTGTATCTCTCTATCTCCCCTCTGTACAATGTTTATATACAATGTTACTCTGTATCTCTCCATCTCCCCCTCTGTACAATGTTTATATACAATCTTACTTTGTATCTCTCTATCTCTCCCTCTGTGCAATATTTATACATAATGTTACTTTGTATCTCTCTATCTCCCCTCTGTACAATGTTTATATACAATGTTACTCTGTATCTCTCCATCTCCCCCTCTGTACAATGTTTATATACAATCTTACTTTGTATCTCTCTATCTCTCCCTCTGTGCAATATTTATACATAATGTTACTTTGTATCTCTCTATCTCCCCTCTGTACAATGTTTATATACAATGTTACTCTGTATCTCTCCATCTCCCCCTCTGTACAATGTTTATATACAATCTTACTTTGTATCTCTCTATCTCTCCCTCTGTGCAATATTTATACATAATGTTACTTTGTATCTCTCTATCTCCCCTCTGTACAATGTTTATATACAATGTTACTCTGTATCTCTCCATCTCCCCCTCTGTACAATGTTTATATACAATCTTACTTTGTATCTCTCTATCTCTCCCTCTGTGCAATATTTATACATAATGTTACTTTGTATCTCTCTATCTCCCCTCTGTACAATGTTTATATACAATGTTACTCTGTATCTCTCCATCTCCCCCTCTGTACAATGTTTATATACAATCTTACTTTGTATCTCTCTATCTCTCCCTCTGTGCAATATTTATACATAATGTTACTTTGTATCTCTCTATCTCCCCTCTGTACAATGTTTATATACAATGTTACTCTGTATCTCTCCATCTCCCCCTCTGTACAATGTTTATATACAATCTTACTTTGTATCTCTCTATCTCTCCCTCTGTGCAATATTTATACATAATGTTACTTTGTATCTCTCTATCTCCCCTCTGTACAATGTTTATATACAATGTTACTCTGTATCTCTCCATCTCCCCCTCTGTACAATGTTTATATACAATCTTACTTTGTATCTCTCTATCTCTCCCTCTGTGCAATATTTATACATAATGTTACTTTGTATCTCTCTATCTCCCCTCTGTACAATGTTTATATACAATGTTACTCTGTATCTCTCCATCTCCCCCTCTGTACAATGTTTATATACAATCTTACTTTGTATCTCTCTATCTCTCCCTCTGTGCAATATTTATACATAATGTTACTTTGTATCTCTCTATCTCCCCTCTGTACAATGTTTATATACAATGTTACTCTGTATCTCTCCATCTCCCCCTCTGTACAATGTTTATATACAATCTTACTTTGTATCTCTCTATCTCTCCCTCTGTGCAATATTTATACATAATGTTACTTTGTATCTCTCTATCTCCCCTCTGTACAATGTTTATATACAATGTTACTCTGTATCTCTCCATCTCCCCCTCTGTACAATGTTTATATACAATCTTACTTTGTATCTCTCTATCTCCCCCTCTGTACAATGTTTATATACAATGTTACTTTGTATCTCTCTATGTCTGGAGCCGGGGGGGGTGGCAGCAGTGAGGCAGAAGGACATCCTGTGTACTTCCATGAGGTTTAGTTAGGGGTGTTTAGCACGTCCAGTGTCCAGCATTAGTTACATAGTATTTGAGGGTGAATAAAGACACAGGTCCATCAAGTTCAACCTTTTGTGTGTCATTGTGTATGTGTGTTTAATAAAGTTTTTGTTTGTTACAATAACGTATTACTAAACCCTTCTACTTTCCTCTTCCAGATCAAATTTGTGGAAAGCTTGTGCGATGGGTGACCCAATGGTGGAACCAGCTGCTTCTAAACTCTCCGGTCAGGTGGCCCTGCAGGGGAACGGCGGGAGCCCTCTCTGCGCCATTGCAGAAGGTGTGGCGGATATGTCCCTGGTAATAGACCCAGATGTGGCGCAGAAGGCGTGTCAGGATGTCCTGGAAAAGGTTAAGCTCATGCACAGCTCCACGGAGAACCTGGATCAAATGGGGGACGGCGAATGCGTTACCAATGGGGACTCAAAGGCGGGAGAGCCCGGGGTCTCCGTCACCAGCTTCAGAATCTCTGAGGAAGACGAGGTGGATATTAACTGCGTGAAGAACGCCCGGCGGAAACAGAAAAACTACGGCAAGCAGTCGTGGCTCCTGCGCCTTTTCGAGTGCAAGCTCTTCGACATCTCCATGGCAATCTCGTACCTTTACAACTCGAAGGAACCCGGGGTGCAGGCGTACATCGGCAACCGGCTTTTCTATTTCAAAAACGAGGAAGTGGACTTTTACCTGCCTCAGCTGCTCAACATGTACATCCACATGGACGAGGACGTGGGCGACGCCATCAAACCCTACGTGGTTCACCGCTGCCGGCACAGCATTAACTTCTCCCTGCAGTGCGCCTGGCTTCTCGGGGCCTATTCCTCCGACATGCACATCTCCACCCAGCGCTACTCCCGGGGGACCAAGCTGCGCAAGGTCATCCTCTCCGATGAGCTAAAGCCAGCTCACAAGAAGCGCGAGCTGACCCCGCTCAGTTTGACACCGGACACTGGCTTGTCCCCATCCAAACGGACGCATCAACGGTCCAAGTCCGACGCCACCGCCAGTATCAGTCTCAGCAGCAACCTTAAGAGGACGGCGAGCAATCCCAAAGTAGAGAATGACGACGAGGTAAGGCACCTGTGAGGACTTGCAGTCCCAAAAGCTTGAGACGGGTGATTGCTGTGTTGTGTGCTTGTCAGGTACTTGTCGTGTGCGATATAGGCTGGGAACCATATGCATAGGACCTGTGTATGTGAGGTAGCTATCCTTGATTGTAAGGCTTGGCCACTCTTAGGTGCCGGGTCTCTTTCCTGCCCAAGAGATTTGCTATGCTTTTGCTTAAAGGGCAACTACCTTTCAACATTTTTTTTTTTCTTATATGTGCAGATTATAAGGGATTTGCTTTCTTTCTATTGGTTTAATTGAATTTGTGTTGTCTTCTCCCCAGAACGACCTTAATGCCACAAATCCACCGTCAGATCATGTAAATGCACTGGTATTGCTTGGCTGGTGACCCATAATAATCCATAGAGAGGAGCCATGGTTTTCTCACCATCAGTATTCCCATTGCATGGCGGGTGACCCATAATAATCCATAGAGAGGAGTCATGGCTTTATCCCCATAAGTATTCTCAACACTTGGCTGGCAGACCATGATAATCCATAGACCGGAGCCATGGCTTTCTCACCATCAGTATTCCTATCACATGGCTGGTGACCCATAATAATCCATAAAAGAACCATAGGTTTATCCCCATCAGTATTCCCAGCACTTTTACGCTTGGCTGGCGACCCATAATAATCCATAAAGAGTAGATATGGCTTTCTCACTATTGGTATTCCCATCGCATGGCTGGCGACCCATAATAATCCATAGGGAGGAGCCATGGCTTGCCTGGATGCTGGATGGAAGCCTAGCATCTTTACACATGCCGTTTTACAACTCTCGACAGACCCTGTCCAGTAGCTTCTGTTTTCCAGTAGCTGGAGTTCTGCAGCCATCTTTCAGACGTGATGTTTGTTACCACAGAGTACTGACCCGTCCTTGTCACTAGTGATGACCCAACTGGTTTGGGTTAATCTACAAATCCAGGTTCATCGAATGTCCAAGTGAACCGGATGGAGGGCCACCTGTGTCCTAGCAACCAATGGCGTTGTGTCAAAGGTTGCTAAGATGCTGTCTGCCTCACAGCCTCATAGGTTATTGTGTGCCTGCCGGTGTTTTTAACAACCACTGGCTCTGTGCTGCTCGTCCACCAGTCGACCAATGGCTCTGTGCGGCTCATCCACCTGTCGACCACTGGCTCTGTGCGGCTCAGCCACCAGCCGGCCACTGGCTCTGTGCGGCTCAGCCACCAGCCGACCACTGGCTCTGTGCGGCTCAGCCACCAGCCGGCCCCTGGCTCTCTGCGGCTCAGCCACCAGCCGGCCACTGGCTCTGTGCGGCTCAGCCACCAGCCGGCCACTGGCTCTGTGCGGCTCAGCCACCAGCCGGCCACACGGCCGCTGGCTCTGTTCGGCTCGGCCACCAGCCGGCCGCTGGCTCTGTTCGGCTCAGCCACCAGCCGGCCGCTGGCGCTGTGCGGCTCAGCCACCAGCAGGCCGCTGGGGCTGTGCGAGCTCCACAGCGTCATTGGTTGCTAGGAGACAGGCAGAGATTTGGCAGATAGGCGAAGTGGCCGAATCATTCATTTGTTTGGTGAACTGTGAGCAGCTCCGAAGGTCGATGTGATCCCGATCCCTCACGTTGGCAGACTCGGGGTGAAATTCCCAGTTCTAGTGCCGGATTGACTGCCCTTGTCTTCTGAGAGCCGCGGTGTAGTGACAACGACCCCCGGCTCCGTCCAGAACAATGCGCGCCATTCAGGGAGCGGCTGTGTGGGACGATTCCTGGAGTCCCGATTCATCAACGGTCAGAGTCTTCATTCATCCAGTGCCAGTCGCCCCCCTCTCCTCCTG